GGTATAAATCAGGTAGCACACACAGGCCTTCCTCGGGGAGAATATATAACTGCTGACCAGTTTTATTGTATTCAGTACATAATCTCCACTATAAACTAATGTAGTGGTTAACCTGCTGTTCTTGATCGACAATGGAAAAAAAACCATCTTGAAATGAAACATCTTCAGGATACTGAACACTTTTAAGAAATGTTTGGAGTGAAACCGAAAAAGTCCAACTACAAAAACATCTAATGCTTTTCAGTGTTCTTCTGTCTATGTGTTCTCACTTTATGCGTATAATGACCTGCAGATGAGTGTAAAGTGCAAACCTCCTCAAAGCCTCAAGAACAGCCCTTCGTCAGCATTATGATTAATACCACGCAAGACAGACAACATGTGATCTCTGGACTCTACTTAGCTCATGTGGCTGCTCAACGCTTCACTTTTTTTCTGCTGCGTACAGACACTCAGTTCCTGTGAGGCTCCTCTGCTCCAAAGCCCGACCTTGAACTCGGCTGGCTTTGAATTCCAATGTCTTTTCTAGCTTAAGTAATGACATAAATATTAGGTTACGTTGCCCTTTTCCATAGAAAATTGACGAGCAATGCTGACACAATCTCTTTTATTCTATGTGATTTGTGACGTACAACGAGAAGGTGGCATTATACACATCTCTTGCTTACACAGTCATTTGGTATTTACGGATTAAGAAAGGATTTGAAATTAGTGGTTTATATAAAAACGGTACAGCTGCGGGGGTGTTTATTCAAATCTGGGTATACTCTAAAATCAGTCACATTATGAACACCGCTATCCAAGTTACAGTGCTCAGAACAAGCAAGCGGGCACTTCATCAACACATAACTTCTTATAAGGGTGATGTTTCAATTTAAAAAGTTCCATTGTCCAATGAATGTACTTCTGAATTGTTGCATGGAAACTTCAAATGTAATTGGCTGGGTTTTTTTTGTCTTACACTTTGAACTCAATGAGAATTCCTGGTCGCCCCCCCCCGCTGACCAGCTTCACTCCTGAAGGGCTGCAGGTCAGCAAGCACACATGCCAAATTAGAGTCAGATTTTGACACACGCAATCAGGGCGACGCTCCCACATCGACGCCCTATCTTGCCCACACTCTCGTCACACTTCCCCTTCCTACGAGAATAGTCATTATTTTCACCTTTGGCTCCCTTCTATGTAAAGCCACGAGTACATAGTGCAGATTTGGCGTGTAAAGGGATTATTAATATGATCATGAGGAGGCCTCCCATTCTTTTTCTTGCCATGTAGATAGCACATCTTATCTTGAGGAATCATAAAAGTGTTCTGTATTCTTAACCTTTGGAAAGCAGTAAGCTAATGATTGTGCCCGTCAAATGATTGCAGAGCAGGCATTTCTAGAGAAAGAGAGGGGGGGAGGGGGGGGTGGGGGGCCGCGCATATGTGGTTGAAGACAAAAAACTGCAGCTGCATTAAAAATCCTTCTTGCCTTTTAGAAGTCTGTGTTCTCTCTTCTTTCAATATGTTCAATCAGGTTTTTTTTATGACTCCTTTTGTGTTCTGTGGTTTTCTAAAGAAGGAGTGGACGTGGTCGTTTGTGCCTCTGTGATTCCTCACTACTCGCTCCTCTAGCTTGTGAACCGGACGTCCATCTCAGCGTTCCACCTCCAAACGCATTTTGGGGACTGCGGCGGCTCGCCGGTGGAGTCAGCTAGTTTGAGCAACTCAACCTGTTCAGCACAACGTGACGGGTTGAGGACTTTGAGCGCTGTGTGAAAAAGCTCAGAAAAATCCACCTTGTTGTAAAAACAGTATGACAAATTTTTTTGTACACTACCAAAGTTTGTTCAAACTTTCGACTGGTACTGTATCAAATTGCAACTGCAGATGTGGATGTGTAGAATCATCGCATAGAATTGCGGACGCCACTATCCTTTTTTTGTCAAAGATACTAATGAGAGATAAGAAAGGAAGCATTCAAGCCTGTTTCCTTTGCACTTATAGAATTAGATAAGCTCTTATCAGGACTGCCTGATTAATACTTCCGGCTCTTTTCACTCATTTACGAACCGTTTTCAGCAAAAAAAACGAGGATTGCTCCTTTGCACCGGTGCTAAGCGTCTATGGTCATGTTAGCAGATGTGCGTACAGCATTGGATTTATTGGATTGGCTGTACTGTGCTAAGCTACATGCTAACAACAACAAAAAACGTGCTGATTTTGACACAACCATACATTTACTGTTATTGTCATTAGACTGTGGTGGATCTGTACGCTTCAGTTATACGATCATGGAGAAGATGTGCTACGTGCCGTAGTTTGGGTAAGCGGAGGCCAGGACAAAGGGAAGCTCGGGGTCTAGACGTCCGCAGCTAAATAGAACGTTGGAACCAGTTCAACAGGGTTTTTGGAAGGGAGCAAAAGTTCCTTTACGGTGGCACGTTTCTGGATGACTTCAAGGACTATAAATACTCTGTGACCGTGGAGGTGCCATCTCACGAGCTGCCGCTTTATAAGGCCACGGCAGCCTTCAAGTGATCAACACGAGGAAGATAACAAAAACTCCCCAACACCCAACGAGATGAGTCAGAGGTGTTATCTCTGACGGCCGCACCGCACTCACGTGTCGAGTTGAGCTAGAAAGAAATCCGCGTTGATGGATTCATTTGCATTTATGCTGCTGTTGAGATTACAGTAAAAATGACCAGCGAGCGGGAGGAAGTTCAGTGTTGATGTTATCGGAGGCGTCAACTTTCATGCACGTACTGGTTGTGAAGAGTTTGAACGTGGAAGTTGCAATAAAACGGTTGTTTAGCATAATAATTTGGTCTATTTGGAAATGTTATGCATGTCGTGTCTATCGAAATTATATTATTATAGAAAATGGCTGCAGATGTTTTTTCCGTCAAGCTCTAATTCTCTCGGTCTCCAATTTATCTAAATATGAGAAGAAAAAAACATGAATAGTATATAAATAGATATCAAACAGTAGGAAAAGACGGTCTAATTCCAGTTCTAGTTGTTGATTGTAGTTTAGTAATAGCCCACAATCTTGATCACACTGAGGGCACTCTGTTGGAAGGTCGAGGGCAGAGTGTAATGACTCAATATATGGCTCAGCCCTTTTAGTCATAAGAAGGTCTTAAGCAATGATTCTACTCTGACCCTTTGCGTATCTTATCAGTAAATCTTGATAATGCCTGAGATTTTCAGACTATTACTTTTTACCTTTAGCTTCTAGAGCTAACTCTCTCACACACACACACACACACACACACACACACACACACACACACACACACACACACAACAATAATTCAGAGCTAAGAGCTTTGGGGAAGATAAAGTCTTCTCCACTACAATGCCCACAGAGCTTTTCATCAGGAAACTATCGGACCGTAGCACTGCTTCTTAATTTCTAGGATAAAAAAAAAAAATCACTTTTATCGCTGGAAACACTACATCAAAACAATAGGAGGAAATCTCTCCGGTAGATAAATGTCTGCAGCAGAATGAGCTTTAATACTGAATAGGAACGAATGATCCTGAGTCACAGAATGAGGATTAAATCTTGTTATGTCAGCACGACAATCAACAGTGAGAAATTGAGTAACATTCAAGAAGACATCACAAAGGGAAATACATTTCCCCAATTCAGAGGAAAGGTCATTTAGGGTCAAAATATGTTATCTGATGAAACGGACACTCGTCAGCGTGCCCATACCGACAACCTTCCTGAGCTCAAGCAGCTCGGCTTTGAAAAACCAGACAAATAACAGTCGCCTACAACAGTGAAATGCACTTTCCCCACGCTGCAGCTGGCATGGCAGTGCTCGCCAGATGTTATCAGAGAGCGCAACTTTCCATTTTTAAGTTACAGCCCCATCTCTGTCTGTCCGTCTCCTCCTCACGGGCCTCGGTTAGAACACGTGACGTCACATGCTGCTTCCATAAAACCCATCCGGATTTAGCAACAAAATCAGAGTCTGGTGACAGTTGATGGGTTTGTCTGGTCATGGTCAGTGTCAATCCGAAAAATAGAGTAGCAGTGTGGAGTTTTAAAACGCAGAAAATGAACCAGCAATTCAGCACTTTCAGTTCCCTTCCCTCAAAGTGGATGTTTCTTTTGGAATGGGTTTTGGATTGAAGGCATCGGTTAACACAAGATCGGGAGGTTTTTAAAGTTTGGTCGTACCACTTAAAACACATGTTGTATTCAACTTGGGAATTCCAGATTTGTGTGTGTGTGTGTGAGATGTAAAAACGTCTATGAAAGAAAGTACTAGATCAAAGAGCTCTTGATTCATGCACATTTATATTTTATGTGCAGGCGGAAACACACGCTGTGATGACTTCCCATTTGTCTGCTTGTGCCCAGCAAAGTTTATCAGGTTAGTGTGTTTGTTCGTAACTCAGGCTCCCTTCAGGGACTCGTTATAGACTTCAGAACAGGTTATTAATGATGGCTGGTCACATTTGTTTAGCTTTTAAACACCAGACACTTTTCTTTTAATGCGCTGCTTCGACCTTTTTTCCACCCCAGTAGTTTACAAAAGTTGTCTGTGCCCGCGTGTGACCCCTTAACATGGGTCCTTTGGTCTCCCCTTTGACCTTAGATCCTTCTTTTGACCTTGGCTCCTTATTTAGAGAAACCGACGTCTCTCTTTTTCATACAAGCGCCCCAACACGTGTCCTTTTTCTACTATGCGTGGACTCCCCCCCCCCCGTGTTTACGTAAAACGCTTCCCACTTCGGTGAAGAGACGCGAGTACTCACCCGTTCACGGTGGGAGTCACGGGGGGGAGAGCAGCGGCGGCGGGCGCGCGAGCGTGAAAAAAGAGACACACAAACGGATACAAAATGAAACAAAAAACGTTTAGCGAGTGATTGAAGTCTGCTCGTCAACCTTTAAATGATGTCAAGAAACAGGCAACAGGCGAGTCCCATCTGGCCCGAGTCACACAAAGCTCAGTTAACTCGCGAAGTTGTAGCGAAGTGACGTTAATACGTGTTTTTACCGGAGTGTTGATGAGAAGAACCGAGCTGCCGGTGCGTGAGACCGGAGAACAGGAATCCCGACGCGGTGCTCGTCCGGGTGAAAGAGACCAAACACCTGTAAGCGCCCTACTCTGGCAGAAAAAACCTCCCCGGAGACAGGACAAGAGCTAACCCCGCCCCCCCCACACGGCCCCCGTAGTACTTGTAAACAGGTACGCCCACGATGACGACGCAGACGGCAAAGTCCCAGCGACACCTGGTGGAGATTCGGGAGGAAGAAGGGACGTCATCGCCGTGTCACATGACCACTAGATGGCCTCGTCAGTTTGAGCTGACTGCATGTAGATGCTTCATGATAGAAGTCTGTAAACCGAAGTCAACGTTCCCGAAGGATGAATGGACGTTTAGATGATGTTGATTAGATAAGTATTGTGTATTTAGGCTACTGCTAACATATACAAATAATGATGTGATGCAGTGGTGGAAGAAGACATCAGCAGCTTAACATCAGTAAACGTAACACCTGAATGTAAATGTAACCATTGCAGATTGACCAGTAAAAGCCTTGTATTCATAAAGGTATTATAAGAAAATAAGCTTTAAATAAAATCCTCCTTCTTTTATTGATGAATTAAGTAGCATTGTAATGGTATCGCTGGTCAAAGTGGAGCGATATAGACGGTTCTATACTTGATGTTTGACCTAGCATATGCAGTGTTTTAAATCTCTAATATCACACCATAGACGCCTTTTCTTTTTTAGCTCGGCCTACAGCGAGCTAAAACTGAAATAAAAGACAAAAGGAGTTGAGTATACGCAACAATTAAAAAATACCTTATTGCCATCTAAGTATACTTTAGATATAAAACCTTACAGTAATATGCAGACTAACTTTAATCCAGTGCACCTGTCAAATAAATATAATGTGGTAAAAAGTACAGGATTATTCTTAAATGTATTTGGTAAAGATATTTTAAAAAGTAGTATAAACTAGAGGTCATCCAGAAAAGTACCATCACATTTCACCCAAATAGAGCATGAATTCATCGTCCTTGTTGATTTCCATCAGTGAGAGCTATGAGCAAGGCATTTGTGTAACAACACAACAAAAACCTCTGAATAAAAAGCGCAGAGAGATAATGATTGCACATGTTTTTATACAGGGCACAAACAGCATGAAAAGTAAGTGGATTATATGATTTTCCCTTTGCTGTCAGCAGATCTCAACCCAATCAAACACTTGAGTGAGCAATGTTAGGTTTGTTCTAAAAACACCTTGTCAAGACGTGTACAGTACACTCATTTTCTTCAATGTGTCACCCATCAGAATCAGCGAAAAAGCCGGTTAATTTCCACTTTTTAACTCCAATTATTAAAAAGGCTGCAGTAAATGTCACGTATAGGTTACTGGTCTCAGTTCAGTTAGCACCGACAGTGTAACATCAATACCACTGCAGTCTTGCAGTAATGAGAAGAAGTGCTGCTGAAGTGCAGGAAATATAAATCTATTCCATCTGCAGAATTATCACACACGTAGCCACTCACAGTCCCACAGCTTTTCATTTGTTTCCATTTATTTTCATTAAAACCTATATGGAACAAATTTGCTGTTCGTAATCTATTATCAAGCGCATACAACTAGGAGACCTGGCAAGAGGAGTGTTACAGTCAAGTTTATTCAACCATGAATGTTGCTTCTAAACAAGTGTGGACGGGGAAGACCTGGTCCTTCAGGTCCTGATCCTAAACCAAACATCTACCTGAGATTCAATTCAGTTCACCTATTCACGTGGTATTCACATAACGATGTAGAGAAACGGTTCTAGTCTATTTATTTTTCTGCGGCATGTTTCAATGCTACAGTACAACATGTCAGACAGTAGTTCTCAGTGACAGTTTTGGCAATTCTACAGGCTACATTGTTTGCCCTACTTTTATACAAAAGAAAATTGAATACTCGTCAGATCTGATTTTCTTTTTTTGTTGAAAATCATTACTAAATCTTCCTACAAGTATTTAGTATTGCTCTTGCTACATTGAAAAAATAGAAAAATTACATCTGATTATTGAGCTGTGGATGTGATATTTATAAAGAGCCTCGCTCTCAAGTGTTCATGGCTATGTTTCGATAGTCCTTAGCTGCTTCCTCTCCAGATCTCCCGTTTGGCCAGCTTCACATCGGCGATCAAAGAGGAAGGTACGAAGCAAAGAACGAGACATCAAACAGTTTTCAGACACTCATCGGAGAAGAAAAAGTCTACGATTCCGCGCAGGTGACGGATGTCAGCAGGTTGTCCTCTCCCTGAGCGTCTTCCTCCGCCGCTTCCGCGCCTGCGTCTGTTGCTACTTCCTGTCCGGTCGCCACTACGGAAGTGTCCGTGTCCGGGGCTTCGAAGGACTCGCCCCCCAGATCGGCCAGTTTGATGTAGCCCTTACTGTTGGAGCGCTCCAGCCGAGGGCAGCTGAAGCGCCGGGCTCTGTCGCCTTGACGACCCGCAGACACCGACAGGCTGCAGCGGCGTGTGGGCCTGGGCTGATCTGTGAGGGAGTTAAGCGACATCCGCGACCCCGTTGGCCTGGCGACAGGCGATGGAGGAAACAGCTGGCTCCACGGTTGCTGAGGCTCAGCCGCCGGCGCCCCCTGTTGGTCGACCGTGTCCCTGGTCATGTCCTCGTGGCTCTGATGGGGCTGCGGGGAATCCGTCGCCGACGCGTCCTTCTCCCTGGCGTCCGTCTCGACGGTCGGGCTGCCGCCGGTCCGTCCCTCCTCTCCGGCGCTTTCGGCGGCGGCCTCGTCGACGACCCCTTCCGCCGAGCGTCCCTCTTCCGCCGCTCTCTCAGACCCCTCCACCTCGCAGTTGTTCAGTTTGATGACGGGTAAGGTGAACGCGTTCACGGAGGAGGTGACGATGGAAGTGGTCTCCCACTGCCGGGGCTGCGGGGCCTGCTCGCTGCTATTGCTGTAGTCTTTGTAGATGCTGTAGACGGTATCCGTGAAGGTCTGAACATCTCTGGACCAGCTACGAGGCCTGCTGGCCGACGACGGGCGTCTCAACACGTCAACGGCGCCCAACTCGCCCTGGGGGCCGAGGCCAGTGGAGGGCCAGGAGCTGCGAGTCAGCGCTCCGCTAGCGGGGAACGAGCCCGGCGGACCCTCCGCACTCCTCGACTGAGTGTAGTTCACCAAACCGTTTAGAGGCGAGTACTCCTTCGACCGTATGCTGTGCAGGTCTATGACAGTGGAGTAGATGTCCCTCAAGTTGATGATTTTTGTCTTCTTGTCTCGGTTCTCGTGGAGGACGGCGTTGGCGCAGATGAAGAGAAAAATGCCGATTCCCATCACCAGCGGTCCGAAGACTTTCAGATTATCTGAGTACAGATAATTATTCAGGAAGTCACACAGGAAGCCACAACGAGGCGAGGGCTCCTGGGCGCTGCTGTTAGAATGGCTCTGGTTGAACAAAGTGGTCTCTCCGGAGGGAGGCTTGTTATGGGTCAAGTTAGAGGAAACAGGCGGACTTTTGGAGTAGCTCATCCTGTTGTGGTATCCTCCAGTTCTGCGGCGATCCTGGTACTGCTGCTGCTGGTTCTTGCTGGGCCAGTAACCCAGCACCGCCATGGAAATCCCAACCATGAGAACTATAAGTCCCAAAGCAGCCACAAACCCGGCCGGGGAGAGCAGGTTGAGCTTCCCCTTCACCACCACCACGTCGTTCTTCTTCTTCTTCTTGCATTTCCGCTTCCTTTTGTTTTCCGCTCGGTTTTTAGAGCGGAGGGAGTCCTGGCGCCTGTTCATGCGCAGCAGGCCACCCGTGGCTATCATGGCGGCGTTCGGACTGCAGGCTCGTCACTCAACCTGGCAGGACACAAAATGGGAACAACAGAAGGTCAGATTGAAGATTTAGATGTTAAGAAAATCGTTTAAACATTTAGAGCCATGGAGTGAATTTGTTCATTTCACTGAGATTAGTCATGTAATCCAGATTTATTATAGATACAAGGATTATCAACCAAACAAAGCTGGCAACTAACCCTGAAGAACCACGGAGATCCATCACATGTATTCGGTGAAAGGCACCGGTACAACATAACTGAAATGTGAAGAGGTTCATGGTATGAAGAACTAGTTCTGCTGAGAACCTATTTTCTCAGTTAGCTTCTCGCTACGATTGCCGGGGAACATGAACACTCATATTTCTTCCAAAATAAGAACAGTTTTGAGAGACTATTTGGGTGTTTGATTGTTTTCTTCGACTAGCTTACTGGTCTGACATGGCAGCATGAAAATCAGTTAGAAAAAGACATTCAAGTACATTCAAGCATCAATCAGGATACAGCAACATTTTAATCAAAATATGAAGAGTTAGTTATCGTATCTGATGAAAAAGACCCACACAGACATTAAGCAGTTTTCTAGAGTTTTAACTATCAAATCCACCTTTTTTTGTAATGAATGTTCAAAGGTTATGGCGAAATGACACATAACATGCATCTGCAGATACTGGATCTATAAATACAATGATGTCAGAGAAACAGAGACAAAAATCCAACTTGACAGTTTAGAACAAGGAGTGCTATTTATCTATATTCAGCTGTGCCGGTGCAAGATCAGCCTATGAAAATGTAATGTGTCCAGACAGGAGGCCAGCGGGCATGTTCTCTCCACCTCGCTCTAGCTTCCATACTCTCCATCCCCTTCCCGCCTCCCCTCTCTCTCTCTCTCCCTCTCTCTTGCCAACCTCTCCTCCTCCTGCTTTCCACCCAAATCCAATCCACTGTCAACCAAACGCAGCCACGCTCCAAGATGACGGCGCCCTTCACACGTGCAGCACCTCACAAAGGGGCAAGTGGGAGCTATACTGGCCATTTGTGTACACAACCAGCACTGTGCGTGCCACGTGAGATGTTTGCGTTCCTTTTATGATCATGCAGCACAATGGTGGGAGCTTTGGTCCAAAGGGCAATGAAGGCACACACTCTTACCAGGATTACAGATATGAGATGATGAGTCCCAACCACATTGGGTGGCTGATTAATTAGACTTTAGCATTCCCTCCTTGATTGCGCTGATAGGTATTTAATTTGACTAATCCTGCCTAATTGTGTATGACTTAGGTCTCGGGTTCATGAATAACTTATTGCACAAATTCCTTGCGGAGAAGCAATTAAAAAGAGGTC